CGGGCAACCCCGCCAAGAAGAAGCGGAAACGGTGCGGGGTGTGCGTGCCCTGCAAGCGGCTCATCAACTGTGGAGTCTGCAGCAGTTGCAGGAACCGCAAAACGGGACACCAGATCTGCAAGTTTAGGAAATGCGAAGAGCTTAAGAAAAAGCCGGGCACGTCGCTAGAGGTCAGAGGCGATGATTTCTTTTTCCCCAGCCTCCCGCCGTCCCTCCTGAACCCCCTGCCCCCGCCCCTGCAGTGCTTCTTGTCTAGCTTCAAGATGCAGCATCCCTTTTCCGAGGCCTCCTTCAGGCTGTGAGGCGGCCCCCGCCGCGCCGCAGCCGCCCACCCGCCAGCCCACCCCGAGGGACTGCTGCCTCTCCTCTCGCTCCAGCCTGCTCGTTTTTTATTAATTGCTATTATCATCACTACCATTTTTTTTCTCTCACGATGCTCGGGGGCGGGCAGGGAGGTGGTTCCAGCGATCGCAGGTGCAGGGGGCAAGCGGGGGCCTCCCAGGGCGACGCAGAGCGGCGCGCTGGAGAAGGACACCGGGCCACAGGGCCCCGTAGTTGGTGGGACGTGTGGTGAAGTTAACCTTTTCTTTCCTTTGGCAATATATTTTATAAAGTAAACCCCAATTATGGTGTATAAAGTACAATGGAAAAAAATAGCACAGGTATGACTGAACTAATTTCTGACTGAACTGTATATACGTTTATTTTTTACAATGTGTCTTCAGAACTGACAATGTATTGAATATTGCAAAGATGTAAAGACAGGTTTTCAAGTGTGCTAGACGTGTAGAAGACAGGCAGGTGTGATGTTACGGGAATCTCGGTTGATGTATTCAGTACGACAGACAATGGAAACAAAAATACACAAATACAAGTGAAACGGCTATTGGTTGATGTCTTCAGGCAAAGGAAACATGCACGAGGAAAGACTAGCAATCATACTTAATCCCTTGTCATTATTAAAATTATAGTGTTGCTGGTTAGATGCACATATCAGACGTGTCGGAAGGTGTCGAGGATGATGGATTTAGTACAGAGGAGTAGCGTATCCTGGGTGACATCCAGATTTGTAGTCACAGAAATTAGCAACTAAGTGAGAAATTACAACTTTCCTCTGTGTGTGTGTGTGTGTGTGTTGTGGTTTACTTCCCAACTCATTGCTCGCAGGAGTTGTTTCTCTCTAAGAAGAGGTGGGGTGAGGGGTTCAGGGGAATAAAGCAACAAGAAGAACCCACTAATTTGTTTAGTGTTAAATAAATGGAGATAACGGCATTTATATTGATACTGCCATGGGACAAAAGCATCGTTGGGGTTTTAGTCGATATTTGACTGCTACCGTTAACCGTTTTGTAGCCAGCCTCATCAGGATGCCCAATTCCTTCGCCCTTGCAAGATTGAACTGTCCTTGCAGAAAGTTTCCTTTGTAGCTTGCTCTTTCTTACTCCATCTTCCCAGCTGGTTTTTGTGAACATATGATGAGCCAGCATCACTAGTGCAACAGCCAGGATGGACTCCCCAGGTGCTGGAAGCGAGATTTCTTTTTTAACTGTTGCTTTTGTCAGTGATAGACCACTGTTGATTTCTTAGGAAGTTTGCAGAGAATATATAGAATAGATCAGTCTTCTAATGATGAATCTTAATAGTGAGAGACAGCTTGGGAGGGACTACTCAAACGGGCGGTCGTGGCAAATCCCCCCCCAGCACCGCACAGCATAGCGGGGTGGCTGCCTTTGGTGCACAGTCTTCTCGTTAGGCTCACAAGCGAGGAGGCTGCTGTGATTTAATGCTTATGATAAACGATAGATCCTGATGGATTATCGATTTGTGCAGAAAGTGAGCTATCTCTGGAAGAAACTAATTTATATGTTATCAGATCTTTCTGTGAGTTCCTGTGCCTCCCTGAGAGCATTTCCAGAACTTCCTCGCTCCTGACAGAGGTGCTCTGCAGCCTTAAAAACTGCTCAGGCATGTTATGAGTGCCGCCCGTTAAAACTGTTTAACCACTGTGACTAGTAAAACCGTGGTTTTATTAGCCACTTGTGTACTCTCATAACCACCTGCCTTCCCTTCTTTTCGTCCTTTTTTCCTCTCTTCCTTCCTTGTGCTCTACCAGCTGTATAAGAAGGGAACCTCCTCTGCGCTGTGCTGCGGTTGAAGGCGGCAGGCTCCCGTTTCCACTGCAGAGGGACGGTGCGGCGTCGCTTCTCCGCAGCTCCTCGGGGCTGCTCCCAAAGTACCTCCTGGCGTGCGGCTAACGTCTTTCCAGGCGTGTTATTTGCTGCTAGGAATGGAAGAGTTCCCAAACTGAGCAACTTTCCGCAAGGGCCGTTTTTCCTTATTTCTTCTCCTTTCTCTCTATCGCTCCCTCTCTTTTTAATTAAATAATGAAGAGTGACAGCACGACTGCCTAGAGCACCCCTGCTGCAGCAGCGCGCTGGCCACGAGGCAGCCAGCGGGAAGCCCCTTGG